TGAAAAAAATCCTGTAACACTGGTACCTTCCCTTTTTCTCTGGCACCAAGAGTTGTAGAATACATGTGAATGCTGTCCACCACAAACCTCAGCATCTGTTCATGGAGGATGTCAAATGATCTCAGTTGTCAAATAGCACAATCTAAACGTAGAGCAGAATTATCTTCAGCTTTGGCAGATGATGCAATCTCCTGAGGGAGTGTAAGTTTTGTGTTCAGTTTTGGGCCCCTCACTACATGAAAGATGTTGCATTGCTGGAACATGTCCAGAGGAGAGCAACCAAGCTGGGGAGGGGTCTGGAACACAAGTTGTACGAGGAGCAGCTGAGGGAACTGGGGTTATTTAGTCTGGAGAAGAGGAGGCTGAGGGGAGACCTGATCGCCCTCTACAACTGCCTGACAGGAGGCTGTAGGGAGGTGGGGGTCGGCCTCTTCTTCCTGGGAACAGATGATGGGACGAGGGGGAATGGTTTGAAGCTGTGCCAGGGCAGGTTTAGGTTGGACATTAGGAAAAACTTCTTCACAGAAAGGGTTGTCAGGCTCTGGAATGGGCTGCCCAGGGAGGTGATCAAGTCCCCATCCCTGGAGGTATTAAAAAGAAGGGCAGATGAGGTGCTTAGGGACAGGGTTTAGTGGTGGGATGGCAGGGTTAGGTTAACGGTTGGACTCGATGATCTCAACAGTATTTTCCAACCAAAGTGATTCTATGATTCTATGATTCTAAGTTTAAGCAATTCAGACTGATGTCCAGAACCTCTGGTTGGGAAGGGACATACACTACTTGTCATAAATGCTTTCTTGGCTTTGTCCTTCTCTTCAGCGATTTCTTCCATGGTGAAACTGTTGCATTCTTAAGTAATTTGAAGGAATTGTTGATAGCTTTGGCTCCTTTTGTTTGTGTGTGGTGGTGACAGTTCTGAGGAGCTGGAACAGAAATAAAGCTTGCTTTATAGGCAGCAGGTAGGGTTGGCTGTGGTGCAGTTGATTCATGATTATGTCAGGGAAAGCTTTTTCATATAATATTTTGCTTTAAATACATGAAATATGGAGTATTTTTTCTGACTAGAAACTACAAATAAGGCCCACACAGGCTTGCGCAGTTCCAACAACTGTATATGCAAATTAGAGGCACATTTGCACAGCTGCACTTGTACTAACGAGCACCTAAAAGCCAGTCAGTCCATCCAATTTCTGTGGTACTGTCTCTGTCAGCCTAGCTTTCATCACCAATCACGGCTAACATCTGTGCCAGTACGCATGTGCGTCTAGCTGTAATCCCCTCACACACTTGTTTTATATACACACATCTGACTTTAAAAATGTCCTTTACATTTTTGGAAGCATACATCAGCTTCTTTTTATAATGGCTATCCTAAGTTATACAACAAGCTGTCTCAATGTTTCATTTCCAAGTTCTGAGAAAAACTTAGAAACACACGCAACAATGGAGACTAAATTATATTAAAAATACAAACCTTTTTTCCTCTTGAGCCACATTGTATTGTCCCTGATCACAGCCAGGAGGTGAGCGAGCAGAAAAAATAAATCCATACAGAAAAAGGTTTTATCGTTGACTGTGAATTACAGAAAACGTCATCTTTTTTTCTTTTTTTTACTTTACATAAAAGATTATTTTGAAAGTGAGCATCGATGTCTGTGACAACTAAAATGCTTTGTCACTCAGGGGTAGTTACAGATTTTCCCTTGCCCCCTTACCACCTTCTTGATCTAAGTCTCCTACTGTCACCTCCCTAGGGCAGTATCATGCTGTTCTCTCATTTGTATACTTACTGCAACTCTGTGCACCAGTCACGCTTTTACCCACAAACCTTATGGCACTCTGTTCATTTAGTTCCCTTGCCTGGAAAACTGCGACAGGTATAGAGCAGTGTCACCCAAAATACACTATTTTTAATTTGAACTGTAGGAACATAGCATAGCAATAGGAAAAGTTTAAAACAGAAATTGTACGTACTCATCCATCTTACCGTAACTTGTTCTGTCCTGATGGGTTCATTTTTCTGAGGCGACCAAGTCTGTGGTTTACCTTATTTCAAAATACCAGTTCTCATGATCTTTGCAGAATGTGGCCCCCCGAATGCCCTTCAGTCTTTGTACTCTCCTCTCTGCCCACCCTTTTCTTCCCTGAGGGGAAAAAAAAAAAGACAAGCTCAGCAAGGTGGCCTAGGTAACTTGCCATTGTTACTGGTCCTGAATGTCTACTGTTGGCTTCTTAGGTGGGTTGCTGTTGCTCTCCTTGGGCTTATCTCCTGAGCACCTAGCAACCGAATCAACACATTGCAAAAGACAAAGTCTACGCTATTTGGACAACTAAACAGAACATACTGTATTAATAGAGTATTATAGGTAATTCCAAATCATCACAGTATGTATCAAAACAATAATATAAATTACATATAAGGAGGATAGGTATACACATTCTAAAGTGACTTAAGACTATTAATGCTCTGTCAGGTTTTGTATTAAAGCTCTATATACAAATAATGTATAAATTATTAAAGGATTAGAGTGTATTAACAAAGGATTAATTAAGCACAATAGATTTCAAAAGGTTAATAGATTATTACAGTTATACGTACAGCCTTGTAGAAGACCTTAATGTAGTTATAACTCCTTGCAACAAATAGCAGGTTTACAGTATGCCCTAAAACAGCTCTTCATCATTTTGTAGCCACTAATTTACTTATAATGAGACCTAAAAATGCAGACATCCAGAACTTGATTGGCGAAGGACCAGTGTGGCAGGAAACAAGTTTCTGTTGTCAACATTTCTTTATTCTTCTCTAGATAGTAAGCGACTTCGCATTGGCAAATGTGGACTATAAAACAGTCTTGCACAATCTTCAGACTACCCAACTCTCATGTACACGAGAGCTCCAGTGCTATGGATTTGCAAATGTTTTAACTGCTTCCTTCAGAAGAAAAACGTCATTTCTCCTACCAGTATCACTTAAGTGTAAGATTAGCAGTGAGTAATCTGAGAAGCCAATGTCCCGGTTCTGTCCAATCCTTTCCATCAGATCACATTCATGTGGAAGTAGCGATCCCTCAGACCTGCTTGCCTTGTCCCCTTGCCGTTCACTGACCGGTTTTGTGTGGTGCTTTCTTCCACATGGGCCAGATGAAATTAGTGGTTTGCGATAGAAATTTTGCAATTTCCTTTGCCAAGAACGTTTGCGTGCATCTGTGAGAAGGCGCTTTAGGCTTCTGCACAGCTTTTCTCTGGGTATGTGTTGGAGCCCTTGGGCATAATCAGTGGCTCAACACAAAACAGTGGAAGGAGTCAGTCTGAGATTATAACCTGGCTGTCCCCATAGGTGGATGATATTTGGGGTTAGATGTGGATAGGGTCTTTCTGGTCCTATGACAGCTCTTAAAACTATGCTCGTTATCACAGTATATCACTGTGCATTAAGGGATGTAAGTAACCTTTGCTATATGCTTTTTATTTTCTCGTGCTGGCTTTGTTTCATGTGCCACGGGATGTCTCTCTTGGGCAGGGTACTTTTTTTCATCTGGGAAAGGACAAGATTGTTTGAATACAATTATTATTGTGCATATATTCTGGAGGACGCACATTGGTGGAAATCACCTTGCACTTGAAGCAGAAGGTGGTGAGATTTACAATTATTTGTAAATTCTCTGGGGAGTTTATTCTGCAGACTCAGACTGGCACCCATGACAGTTCTGCAATGTGGACAAACAGCTTTGCCCGTACCGTACAGTCTTATGCTCTCAAAGAGCCAAGTTGTTAACCACAGAATTCAAATAGACTTTCTGAACGCTCTGTTGTTTTCAGTACAAAATAAAACCATTCCAGGTGGAGGAGATACTACCTGTGAAAATAAAATGACAATGCTGGGCAGCAAGTGAGGCTGTGCGTTACGCTGTCTAGAGGCAGTCTGGATTTATCCAACTATTTGCTGTCTGGGACAGTTCTACACAGCATGAGGTTTCTGGCTCTGTAACCATCTGCAATTCTTGGATTTTGTATCTGCTTAGGGCTTTTTTTCCTCTCTCTCTTTTGGTGGTTTTCTTTCCCGTCCTTACTCTGCCCGATTCTCAGAACACCAGGCAATCTTCACAGAAACCAGATGCTAAATAGTCTGTAGCAACAGTAAAGGAGCACCTGGATTGCTGTATTTTAACGTTTCTATTTTCAAATAAATTGTCTTGTATATCTTTTAGCGAATGGTAATAGAAACAGAGGTGACACAATAAATCAAAGTAAAAATCAAACTCTGCATCAGTATTTCAGACATGGACTCTGGCACCTAAAAGGAAGAGTTGCTTTGGTCTGCTTCAACTTGTGTAGTCTAGCTATTGGAGAGAGGCAGAAAATCAGAGTATAGCTATTTCTCCTGTGTATTGCCCCTTGCCCTTTGAAGTTCATGGCCGAGGAGACTTTGAACAGCGCTCATACTTAAGCCTGTGGTTTGAAGATGATACAGTTTGCACGAGTGTGTGCTATTTTAGAAGGATTTTTCATTCTGTGACTTCTGCAGGCTGGCTGACGGTGCCAGAAGCATGGCCCCACCTGCTCGGGTTTGATGCCTTTGTGGGGGCTGCTGCTAGCAGCCACGCTGGGCTGGGGTAGCCTTTCTTCCACCAGGCTGAGGAGTGTAACCGTAGCTAGCCCCAGTGAGGGGTGCATTGGCAGGGGGACACACAGCGTCCCTCTGCTCTTGCTTCCCGTGCAGGCCAGAAGAACCTGACCCATAACTTTTTGTACAGTTATTGCCTCAAATCTATCCCTGGTGTTATCCCTATTATGACTTAATAGTCTGTGTTTGGCTCGTTAACATTGTAATGACACTCTTCTTGAAGAGAGATTGCTTTGTGGAAATTGCAGATTTATGGTGTTTCTAGGAAGATAAGTTTATTTCCAGCTAATATGAACCACAGCTCACTGGGACTAATGTAATGCAGCCTGTGTTACAAGTGTGATTAGTTTTATATCCTATTTTCTTTCCCCCTCAGAGGATTATGCCCAGCTGTGCAACATTCCTGTTCCAGGATCTCGACGGCCATATGGACAAGATGCTTTGGTTGACTTTGAGGAGCACTACACTCCAGAAACTAATCCATACTTTGTTGAAGACCGTAAGCAAATTTCTCTGTTATGTAAAATACTTGAAATGAGGGTTGTAACTTGGATTATTTCCCTGTAGCTGGCGTCATTCTTCTGTTTGCTTCTGAGTAATGTGGCCTATTTATGCTTTAGTTATTCCTATGACACTAGCTTTCAGTCAGGTGTTCTGGTTCAAGATCCAGTGTTGTATAAGAGTCCAGTTGGGCTCAGAGTACAATATTCATTTTTAATACAGTGACATAGTTTGTGCCAAGTGTACTAAATTTCTATTTACCAACAGATTTACAGCTGAAGGTCAAAAGGATTGCCAGCTTTCCTTCTCAGAAATTAATTTTCCTTTGGAGCATGGGACAGATTTCTTCAGAGTGCACTTAGTTGAAAAGAAAAAAAAAAAATCCCTTCACGCCAGCTTTCCATGATTTTCTAGCAGAATTTATATGGGGGAAACGGAGATCATGCAAGTGGTTCTTGCTCAATGGAGAAAACGTACAGCACAGTATGATCAGAGAGAATGCATACATATAGCCTTTAGGCTAGATGGAGTGACCTGCCAAGCAGGGCCTGAGGCAGTCCATGCAGCATCTCAGCTGTACTTCAGGAATATCAGGGATCTTTATGGGTCTGGCCCAGCTCACTGTTAAGGCTTGTGGAAGGGGAGTGCTTACAGATCTCAGCATCTTCCTCAAAATCAACCACCCTGTACAGGTCCAGCCTATTTCATCACAGTTTTAGGGAAGAGAAGTGGAGGTATCAGAAGGAACTGGTAACTCCCCATGCTTTATACCCATGGCCTACAAGTTGCCACTACGCTCCTTCCCAAAGCGCTTCTACTGTACAAGGAGCTATTTTGAAAGTAACAGTAATAGCTCAAAACAGGGCAGGGGGATTACAGCATGCTGTTAGAAGGGTGATACGCATTTCTGGCACATGTTGCACTTTATACATTTATACAGAACTGCACAAATCAGGTTAATGAGTTCATTTCTATTTAGCATCTAAATGACCTCCTAGCTCTACACAGAATTGCAAAATGTCTTATTTCTTTATATCCAGATGATTTTAATTAAACAGTACTGAGTGTTGATGTCTAATTGAAATGTCACACAGATAACTACCGAACACAATGAAAAGCCCAGAAAGATGACTGGGTAACCAATGTGATTGATAGATGAAATACTGAGTGGGCAAAAAGCACTTTGCAAGTTACAAGGAGCGGTGAATAAACACAATAAAATTGTGGACAGTTTTGAATCCACAGCTGAGTCCACTGTCGTAGGGACAGAGGTTTAATAGCTCATGTCTCTTGCTCCCATCCTATCACTGAATCATGCAGTGGCAAGCAAATGTGTAAGAAACCCCAGAACACACAGCTGTATGCCTCTGTCCTGACCAGACCATATTCCCTGATAGATACAGTTGCAACATGTTTAGGGCATCAAAGACTTCAAAGTCAGAATCCTGCTGGAGCCTGTGTGAGGAACAGGACAATACCTCCCCTCTCGTGGCAGGTCCACGTACTTCAGTGGAATATTTGTCACCCGTGTATAATCAACTTCTACAGAAACAAATACACATATTAGAATTACAACCCAGGTCCCATCCAGCTGTTTTGAAGTAGAATATTTTGTGGAGTAGAACCTGCTGTGAGTGATAAATATTTTGGTTTTACCTAGTTAAAATTACAACATACATGTATTGTACGTGTTCTTGAGATGTGGCATACGTCAGGAAGTACTTATGTCACGTTATGTGTTCAGTGTCTCCAGAATGTATTCAGTGTATGACTGACCAGCAGGATCCATACTAAGAATGCCACCATGCTAGAGAAAATCCAGGATAGAAACGATGTATGTAGTCAAGGAAGGAAAAAGGGGCGCAGGGAGTGGAAGTGACAATATAGAAGTTAAATGGAGGATGATATGGGAAGGACAGAGTAGGAAAGGAAAAGCAGGACAAGAGAAAAGAGGGCCTCAAGAACCAAGACAGGATGGAGTAAATATAAAAAGACAGAAGAACAAGCGCAAAGAAAGGGAGAAATTCATATTCCTAGGCAGCATTGCAAATCTACGTGTCGCAACTGTTGCAACAATATAAATCGGTAAACAGGTTTTAGATAAACCAATAGTTTGTTTCTGGAGTCACTATATTAATTGTATTAGTTATGGGGCAAATGGGGAGATGTATCCTACTCTACTCCACTCCAGCTCCAATTGCCCCTCCATTTCTATGCTATATATTCATTATGCTGGTAAACCTACGACTCACAAATGCTCTCAACTTTTCCCTCTAAGTCTTTTTGATGTGATGGGCTGCCATCTGCAGTCCTGTTACATCACTGCTCCACAAATAGAAAGCTAGTTAAAAAACTTGTGCAATTCAGTCCTAGAGAGAATCTCTGAAGATGTAAAAATGTCAGATAATTTTTTTAATATAAATCTTTCCTTATACATAAAAGCCTAACTGTCAAAAACGCCCTAAGACAGGGAGCACAAAAGGTGGTGTACAAACCACTGAATACAAAGACAACTCTTTAGCTCTGCCTGCTCACCATCTAGAATTATGACAAGAAGCAATTGGTAGATTATAGGTATTTGTACTGGCACCAGGCGCTGAAGTACCAGCCAAAGGGTTGTTAACCAAAACCACAACAGGAAAGCAGTCTCTGATTTCTTCTTACTCTCCTTAAGGCAGTTGAGATTGATTTTTTTTTTTTTTAAGACATTTTCTTCTAGATAAATTAGAATGCATCTCTTCCCCCCTACACATACCCTATTTTTCCAGAATACTGTTTTAAAGGAACTTTTACTCCAAACTGCACTACCACTTCTTACCTTTGTTTCCATAAAGGTTGATACACATACCAATTCAAATAAAAGGTGCTATTCACAAAGCACTGATTTATCCTTTAAAAAAAAATACTTCAAATGATGCAGTTTCCTTTGTAAGAGAGTCGTAGATTTTTTTAACACAAATTAAAAACTTAAGAATTCACAAAGTTATTCAGTTTTCAACTTGAAACATATCGCAGCACTTTTCTAGTGCATTTAAAACTCCAGATGGTGCAGATCTGCTCAAGCTGACCTATTTTCTACAAAGTCAACTCGCATTCCAGTAAACTTCTGAGAGAATTTCAGACTCTCGCTATACGTTTGGGTATACTGG